CAACCTTGCAGCACCATTTGTAATATTTTCGGATCGGCAGGCTCTTGTTTGGTGGCAGCCGCCAGCTCTGCCGTTTTCTTTTGTATATCTTCAATGGCCACTTCGATGGGGTCGAGTATGATTTGCTGCCGCGCAATTACCTGTATGCGTGTTTTCACATACAGAAAATGATTGGCTGTGGTGAGTATGGTCTTCCGCTTGCACTGCTCGTGCAGATCACCGTGTGCCTTACCAGATTTGGTAAATGGTGTGGCAAATATGAATCGTTCTATTGAGGGAGAATAAAGAATTGCAAAATTATTCTTTTTTTTTTGTTGAGAACAACTAAGTTTATGTGTACGCACTTATATTGAAATTGCGTTCGAAGTGTGTCTCGCGGTGTCGTATCTCGTAGGTTTCGAAATAAGGCTCCCCGTAGGTTATTTGTATATAGGCCTTCTCGGGGTCCAGTGAATTTACATCCACTGAGTTCGAATCCTTTATTATATGCACTGAATCGGGACCAAACCGGTAGGCATAAAAGTTCTGAAATGGGACGTTAACGTCTTAATTAAATTTGAGAAGTATGCTACCAGTTCAGTAATTTATCGTTATTGTTATATTGTTGTTGTAACAGCATACAAATTCTTCAAAGAGTTTGTGGGAATGATGCTGGAGTTAAATTACTTGGCCAGATATTATTCTGGGTCGCTCCGATTACGTAGTCCTATATTTATCAATTTGAAATGAATGAAAAAATTATAAATATATTTTTGCAATGAACTAAAATTATTAGCATATTTATCTATGTTATCAATGTTAATATATCGATGCATGTATTTATCGATAACATATTAGTTATATTTATCGAATTTACTGTACATATGCTCAGCAACATTGTTATTGTTATATTTGTATATCGATAGCAGCTTAGATATATTTATCAATAACATCTTAGATATATTTGTCGAGTTTACTAATAAGCTCAGCCACATTGTTATCGTTATATAGTACGTATGTATATCGTGTATATATTTATCAATATCTCATATATATTTATCGAACTTAGTAATATGCTCAGCAACATTGTTGAATTTCAATTACTTCGAAAATCTTATCCCATTTCATTTCTTTTTTTTATTGACAACATGGCCATTTGCTTCATAAATCTCCAAATTCGAAAGTTTTTAGAGTGCAGATCGAAGCAAACACTCATCTTCTTTTAGACTTGTTTCCAAGTTTTAAGCACACGTACCACACTTATGTACATACTTCTAACAACGCCTCCCACTTACCTGCAGTCGACTGAAAATCTCCGGCAACTTAGTTAGCGTCGGCTCCTTGTAAATGAATTCCTGCTGATCCAAATCACCGAACTTTGCACCATAGAAACCCATACGGAAATAGGTACCAAATACCCGCTTACCCTGTAGCTGTGCAATACGGTTGAAGGCCTCTTGCAGCTTACCATGTATTTTGCCCAATTTCTGAAAATCTCGATTCGCCTCACAAATGGGTGTCAGTATTTTATACACTTCGTTCATGGCTTCGTACATGCCAGCGATTTGGAAGGATTTCGATGCCTCCTCCAGCAATACTTTCAAACCACTTTCAGTAAAGTGATTACCCAAGCAAATGCCATCTTCGCCGGGACTTAGCACATCATCCGATACGGCGGATTCCATGAGCGCATTTGGCGTAACCCGTTGAAAACTAACAGCGCCTACTGGCAAATGCTGTTGTGACTCCAACATGCTTAGATATTCGGCAACTAGCGCAGCTGAATGTACATATCACATGGCTGCTTCGGTGTGGTTGGTGCGTTCACGATGCTTCTTGGCCATATTTTCCAGCCAGGTAAGCCGTAAATCTGGATTATTTTGATATCCCTTGGCTATGCGAGGCATAAGGTCGAGCAACATTTCGGGATCTTCTTGGTATTCCTTAATTTTAACGGTGTCGGAGAGGACCATATGCAAATTGAAAAGCAAATCTTGCACCTGCTCGGGGAATGAAGTTTCCTGTAGATCTTGATCTGATTCGGCATAGACGAGCACGGTTTTAAGTGCCCGTCGCAGAGATTGTTCGCTGAACGCAGAGCTTGTGCCGACTAGCAAACTGAGAGACATGGTTAATTGCATTTTGACGCGCGCAAAATTCTGGAAATGGGAATATCAAAAATGGAAAAGATTGATGAAAATCATTCAAACTGCTTCTAATTCACTTACATTGCCAATCTCGAAGTTCTGTCGCATGAGCAGATACAGCGAAGCTGAAGCTTGTGAACGTATAGCCGGCAGCAATGAGCCGCAGTGCTTCAACAAAAGCAAGCAAAGATCCGCACAAATGTCCGTCTCTGCGTCGAACAGCAAATTGGGGAATTTGAAAATTAATGCGCGCTGCGAAGCAAACTGATTTTGAAGCGATAATGTACTTTGATTGCGTGAGAGTGCATGCAGCAACACTTTCAAAACTGTACCCAAAAGGATGTGATGCATTTCCGAATTTGTGGAAACCTGTACAATAATTTCCAAAACATCTAAAATAATCAACGAAATTTCAGTGGCTAAAGAGCCTTCAATAAAATGATTTAACTCCAATTCCGGATCTGCTTTTTTGGTATTATCGGATAATTGCGAACGGTATGCATTTGATCTTTGCGCCAACAAAATTTCTCTGTCGAATTGCGATCTTTGCGTCTGTTTATCAGATCATAGCGCGCCGAGTTGGTACCACGTATACACTCTTCGAGCTTCTCTTTCAAATCGGTTGGCTTACGAAAACTTTGCGTATTGCGCTTAAGTGAGGGCAACCGCTTTTGGCCCTTATACTCGAAACAGGCTATACAAGTGTTCAAGAGCTGTAACATTTGATGCACGCGATGTGGACTGAGACCGAGTAGCCACCGATATAAGACGCTACGTTCAAGATTTTTCAACACCCAAATGCAACAGGCGAGCAAATGACGTGTATTCTCACTGCTTAATTGTGATTTATTTTTGATTTGATCATTGAGATAGTTGTATGCGCGATGGGCAGAGATGGCGTAGGCGAAGTCGGCACTCATCGTTGAAGTCTTCAAGCAGACCAATGCTTTGCAGGCGATCATGTGTGTCTGTGAGATATTGGTGCAGCTGCGGTATGGCGTCCATGACAACACCTAGCAAAGGGAGGTAGAGCGAAGCAACGCGTGCGCGCGCCTCAACCTCGTTATACCGTGGATCTAGATCGTGTGAGGTCATTAGATTGCGGATACAACGAATGGCTTTGCCGTGCAGCTGAGGATTGCTAAAAGCACAAAAAATGAATTTTCGTATGCATTTATATTTATTTAAGTTTTTGAATCGATACATACGGCTCTTCGAGCACTGTCGTCAAGTCGCGAAGCACCAAGCCGACCAGAAAGTGTTGCTGGCGAAAATCAGCGCTCAAATCTGCATGCAATGCGCGCTCCATGGAGCTCTGCAAGAAAATTGTAAATAAACTATCTGTCACTATTCGCATCAGCATCTACAACTTACATAAGAAGTTTGACTATTGCTCGACGTTGTGCTCGGTGTTGGACTGCAGGGAGCTGAAACCGTGGTCTAGGGCGTGCCAATTGGCAAATTTAATGCCGAAAAATGTTCATGGCTGCATACAATAAGCAAAAAATCTATTTTGTAATTCATCAAATCGGGTATGGATGCATTCTTCGAAATTAGCATTTTATAATAGGTTTTAATGAGACCAAAAACAAAACCGCGATCCATTATGCTGAAGAGATCAAATATGAAGAAACCCAAGCTGGCATTCAGCCATTGCGCCAATTTCGTCTTCACTGTTATAACCCACCACTTTGGTAGTTACCAAATGAACAAGTGTCGAAAAATCGTCGGTAAATTGATGTGGAAAACGCTGCTTGCGTGGTGCAGCCA